TTGACCCTAATGGTATATCAAACACTTCATTGCATAATCTTTACTATTGATTTTCTCTTCTACCTTCATCCTTACTCCCACGCCGCCCTCCTCCTCTCCTCCCATGCCGCTCACGTCATGGGTTTTGGTACACCTATATCTGATATTAAATCCATGTATGCAACACAAGTTACCATGCAATGTTGTGTACATAAAAAATGCTATGCAAATGCTACATAGGTGGAAATTGTCATGCCATCCGCAGACAAAATGCCGCACATTATACATAAAAGGCACTAAAAAGTTGTCAGGCAAGTTTCAATGAAGTTGATAGGCACATATACAATGCGATTTTCTTTCTCAAACACGCAGGAGATATGTGTATCATCAAATTAAGAAGAAAATGGAACAAGAATCCATACACCATCCACTCACACATGTTACGCACACCACGCTATTGTTCTCAGATTGCATCTGTGCATGTTTATCATTAAAAAGATTGTTAGAAAGGACTACGACCAAACAACTAAGCTCCAAGGGCCGGGGCAGTCAAGAAAGAGAGGCCCCATGCGCCCGCAATCTCCCAAGGACGCCGCTCATTGCCGGCAGTGTTCAGCGCTCTTACCATGCTTGGAGTCGCTTCGTCAAACACACATGCATTGCGGTGAGCCCAAAGGATCCAAGCACCTAGCACAACCATGGAACTGAATCCCTCTTCAGCTAGTCAGGATTGTTTGCCACGCTTTGTCCCACAAATCATCTGATGATGTTTCAACTAGTTGGGGAGCAAATTGTTGCAACCCAACTTGACATAGGACAGAGTACCAAAATTGCCTTGCAAAGGGGCGGGACACTAGTAGATGGGTGATCGTTTCTTGATCCTGATCACACAACACACAAAGTTCTTGATGGGGAAGTCCACCACGCACAAGCCGGTCAATAGTCTATCACCTCTCATGTGCCAACCATAGGAAATATTTGTATTTTTTAGGGGCTCAAGTCTTCCAAATACGTTCCTGTGGCCTGAACTGAATTGCTCCATAAAATAGATGTTCATATGCAGATTTCGTTGAATACTGTCTGGTGGCGGATAGACGCCATATCTGCACGTCTTCCACTTTAGGATGCAAGGAGAAATTCATGAGAAGATCCGAGAGAACGAGGTACTCAAATAGTTCCCCGATCAATGAAGCTCCTTGTGCACCCGAAATCCAGAGGCATTCGTTAATAGCTTATGTGACCGTACATTTATAGAAATGACATCATACATGCGGGTGGCGATAATGCATTGCCCATCGATCCATCTATCCTCTCAACTTGGAAATATGCCCTAGAGGCAATAATAGTGTATTACTATATTTACATATTCATAGTTAAATGTTTATATTTCATGCTATAACTGCTATGATCCTGGAATATGCGGTTTAGTGAAAACTCATATGCACGTGTGAAATGATAAATAAATAAAATAAAGGTTCCTAGTATCGCCTCTAAGACTAGATCAAGTTTTGTTGATGGTCGTATTTTCCGGATCTTAGGATATCATCAAGTGTAACGATAGTCCTAAAATAACATTGAGATTATGACGTTGAAAGAACGATCGACCCAAACTTGTTTGTTATGCATTAAGATAATATCATATGTAATCAATTGTAATAACATGGAGCGTTAACGTGTGATTTTGCTCCTTAGACCATGAGAGTGTCATATTCACTTCTTACCGTACGATCGGCTTTGGGGTTGCTCAAATGTCACTTGTAACACGGTGATCATAATGACAACTTACAGGTTCACCAGAAAGTTTGACAAGGGACTAGATAGTTCGAGAGAGGGATTTGCTCCTCCCATGACAGAGAGATATTATTAGGGCCCTCTCGGTGTGACGACATCCATCATCGTCTGGCCGGACATAGGTGACTACGTCACGAGGATTCTGGAACACAATAACGAGAAAGAAGAACAAAACCTTTAACGAGTATTTTGGTATAGTGAGCATGGTGATGACTCAGGAGGATAATGATGCATCCTAGGTTTTGTAAAGTATCACGAAGCAAAGGGAACATCACATGATAACCAAAGGTTCACTCGACTATCACTCATGTGCTCATAGGGATTGATATGGACATCCACGGTTCCACTGTCAGTCATTGAATGAACGGTTTCGTTCATGTCTATGAGTTATCGAACCTACGGGGTCACAAGCTTAAGGCAATCACGATCTGTTGAGTGTTAGTAGATGAGAATATATTTGTGAAATTGTTTCATTAATATATGGAATAGTTTCAAGAATAGCCGAAAGCGTTTTGAGGTCACCGGAAGGGTTTCCGAGAATATCGGGTAATACCGAGTATTACCGATAAATATATATAGGTGGAAAATGTTTCTGGGGATGTTAAATTATATATAAAACAATCTGAAAGTATTTATTAAAATTTTATATTTAATTTAATATCAACGGGCCTTAAAAGGCCAAGAGGTGGAAGGCAACTTGGGCCACAAAGGCCCAAGCGGGGGAGGCGCCTCCTTCCCTAAGGAGGAAGAATTGGGGAAGGGGAGGAGTCAGACTCCTCCCCCCCTAGATGGGGCTCCCCTTGGTGGCAGAACTCCCTCTCCCCTCCAACCTATATATACTAGGGGATTTTGCTCTTTTGGACACACAAGTTTTGGAGCCTCCTCTGGTTCTTCTAGTTCTAGTTATAGTTGGTCCTAGTTGACTAATTAGAGCTAGACCAATCCTCTTATCCTCATAATTAGAAGCCAAATGTGGTTCTAATCTCCTCCCTCTAATTCTCCAGCAACGATTAGCTCTGAACGGTGAAGCGCTGCTGGATCATGAAGCCTGCACGCTTGCAACCAAGTAGAGAGGTCGTGCTTTCGGTCTTTGGTTCGAGGGACTGTTCATGGGCGGCACGAGGGATCGTTCATCGACAGTTTGAGGGACTCCAAATATGATCTATACTGGCATGTTCTTCTTCCGCTACAACTCGGTGACGATAACGATCGTGATCCCAACCCCTTATGCATCTTCATATTGATCTTGGACGACCACATGTGCGATTTTTTTGTTTTCTACCGCGTTTCCCAACAATGGCATAATGAGCAGTTATATGAGTAGGTGCATGTTGCAATCTAGATCATATGTGATTTTAAGGGTTGATGTTCTTGCTATGCTTCCCTCTAGTGTTGCTTTGGTTCAATTCATCGACATCATGGTGTCGCTTTGTTACCAGGTTCTGACAATTGATCGGCTCTGGCTGTCAACTATCTGCTAAAAGTTCCTTGGGCTTCACCATAGTTGAGAATAGTGAACCATCGCGTATGCAAGAGGGTGCCGAAGATGGATGATCTTCTAAGGGGTCACACGTATTTGACGAAGTTTAGTGTGGGGGCGAGACTTTTAATTAAGTCTCTTCTTTCACACACCCTGAAACTTAATCTAGCATCAAGAATAACCACCTATGTTGTGGATGTAGGTAGCTAGTACTGTTTTTTAAAACTGGTTAACCACGTAACTAAATTTTTGATAAAACCGATTAGAGGACGTCTAACTTGGTTTTGCAGAGTATGCATATGATGTGGTATAGCCTTTGTCATGATAATGAGTTTATGTATGAGATGGTTATATGTTGTAATGTTAAGTGGCCTGCGTGTCACGGCATGATGGCTGGAGCCATGAGATTGCCACGTTAATGTAAATATTGCAGAGATAACCTACATGTTACAGGTGACGATGGCAAACATACACGAAGGACCCCGAGGAGGAGAAGGTGTACTTGATGCGGGACGAGGAGCTATAATTTTGTGCCACGACGATATTTTTGAATTTGGTGTCACGACAATGCTTTCTAAAACGATCGCCAAGGCAATGTTTTCTGTAATTGCCGCCACAAAAGCGTTTTTGAAATGGTTGCCATGTCAACAAAATATTGGTTGTCATAACGCTTCAACGGAAGATTTAAGATGATCATGGAGGATTCCCAATCCCTGGGGCTATACCATATCATGCTTTTATGAATTGCCTGAGATGTTTATCCCTTTGTTGGTTGCACCCTTTGATTGCACAGTAGTTAATTATTAGCGTGATCTCTCAAAGTAAATATCAAGTTAAAAGGTGCCCTTCCTAGTGTTGCAACCGTCTATAACATGTGGCTTTTTGGAGCACTATATGCTACCATGAGTACAAATGAGAGTGAAGTGTAAGGCGGGTTAGATAGGACTGCACAACAGAAACACTCGGTTACCTTGAAGTTCTAGCAGAAAAGTTCTGAGCTCAGAGCATGAAGAATCGAAAGATGAACATGAGTCATATGGAGATATGCTTAGAAAAAGTTTGCCTACCGGTTGAAATTCACATCATATGAGATGTTACCATCCATGGGTGTGAATGAGATCTGGATCTTGAATCATTGATTTTCAATTATGAGAGATATTGATTTGCGTGGGAGTGCACTTTAAATTAAAATTTGTTTAAACACTAGTGCAAAATTAATTATGAGCTATGTCTATGTGTAGTTTGCATTATGGTTGTAGAATTATGGCTCATGGTTCCACCTTTGATGTTGAAATTGATTGACTGTTATTTATCTGGTCGAATCTTTTATGATTAAGAGGGTTGTCCTCTAAGAGTACCAAGAAGGATTCTATCCTACTGCATGCTTGCAAAGCTCTCCTACTAATGCTATGGATAAC